TGCTGCTGCTGCTGCTGCAGCAACAGCGGACAGAGATGCAGCAGCAAACAATTGAAACAGCAGCAGCAGCAGCAGCAGCAGCAGCTTTGTAGCTGCTGCTGCACTTGCATTTGCTGCGCATGCTGCTGCTATGTGAGCTCCTGCTGCTGCTGCTGCTGCAGCAGCAGCAGCAGGATGCCTTTCTCTACTTTCTCAACATTTGTTAGTCTTAGCCCTGAACGACGCTTGCTGCTGCTGCTGCTGCTGCTGTTGCTGCTGATGTTGCTGTTGCTGCTGTTGCTGCTGCTGATATTGTTGTTGCTGATGACTTTGCTGCTGCTGCTAACCTCGTTGCTGCTGCTGCTGTTGCTGCTGCTGCTGCTGCTGAGCAGCAACAGCGAAGCTTCGAAAAGCCATAGACACCCCCAACAGCAGCAGCAGCAGCAGCAGCAGCAGGAACAGCAGCAAACCCAGTGCCAGAGGCAGCAGCACTAGTAGTAGTAGCAGGAGCAACAGGTTTAGGAGCAGCGACAGCAGCAGCAACAGCAGCAGCAGCAGCAGCAGCAACAGCAGCAGCAGCAGCAACAGCAACAGCAGCAGCAGCAGCAGTAGCAGTCTCGGTACACTGAGCAGAGAACTGAGGGACGTTCCCACCAAGGAGCAGCAGCAGCAGCAGCGGCAGCAACAGCAGCAGCAGCAGCAGCAGCAACAGCAGCAGCAGCAGCAGCAGCAACAGCAGCAGCAGCAGTAGCAGCAGCAGTAGCAGCAGCAGCAGTAGCAATAGGAGTAGCTGAGTCAACAGCAGAAACTGCAGGAGAATCGATAGCAGCAGCTGCAGCAGCAGCAGCAGCAGCCGAGTCAGCAGCAGCAGCAGCAGCAGCAGCAGCAGCAAAAGGGGAGAAGATGAAAAAGAAGATGTCTGTGTTTTGTGTGTGTCTTTGTGTATAAAAAATAAAAAATAAAAATAAATAAACATTAATTTATTTATTTTTTTTTTATTTTTTTTATTTTTTTCTTTTGGTTTATGCTGCAGCTACAGAGGACCGTAACCACCGGCGGTTTAGGGTTTAGGGTTTAGGGTTTAGGGTTTAGGGTTTAGGGTTTTGTATATTCTCTTTTTTTGTTTTGTTTCTTCTGTTTATTTTATACAATTGTGAAACTCTCTCTATCTTAAAACCCTAAAACACAAACCCTAAACCCTAAACCCTAAACCCTAAACCCTAAACCCTAAACCCTAGACCCCCGCAGGGGACCACTAGACCGCCGCCGAAGGACCCTAAACCCTAAACCCTAAACCCTAAACCCTAAACCCTAAACCACTGAATCAGCTCTCTTACACTCGAAACTTTAAACTCTTGTATATAATTTTCATACATTCTGTGCAAAACCCTAAACCCTAAACCCTAAACCCTAAACCCTAAACCCTAAACCCTAAACCCTAAACCGCCATGGACGACCAGAAGTGTCTCGGGCTCATCTTCGCCTTCTTGGCGGCCTTCTTTACAGGTAAACTCAAACCCTAAACCACCAAAACCCTAAACCCTAAACCCTAAACCCTAAACCCTAAACCCTAAACCCTAAACCCTTTCAGATTCCCCTTCACTCGCCCCCAAGGCCTCGCTGTTTCTATCAGGGGCCCCCACCTCTTCCTACCGCTACCCTTAGGGGGCCCCCAGGGTACTCTTGGGGGCCCCAGGGTACTTTAAGGGGCCCCCAGGGTATTCTAGGGGCCCCCAGGGTATCCTAGGGGCCCCCAGGGTATCCTAGGGGCCCCCAGGGTACTTCAGGGGGCCCCCAGGGTACTTCAGGGGGCCCCCAGGGTACTTCAGGGGG